TATATATATATATATATATATATATATATATATCTTTTAAAAACTATGGAATTATAATGATCTCTAATTAAATGATTTGGCAATCCATGAAGAGTTGTATAAATACATTGACATAATAGCACAGTCGGATAATATTACTAATGATAAAAATAAGAATATTCATAGTTATTTAAACTCGAGATAGTACTCCATTATATACAATGTAAACAAACAAACAACTAAAAGTTTTAAAGGGTTTCCAGCCAGCTTTGAGACTTGTATGTTGCACTTATAGTGGACTAGCTATTACTACTGTGCACCGACACCTATTACAGCTGTCTGAAAAATATGTCACACCAATATCCCCCTCTTGAAATTAGAATTTTGACTAGCTAAATCATAGTTCTCAATTGTACTAAAGTTCACTGTTTGCTCTAGTGGTTTTCAGAAGTAAACAACTGAGGGCAATTACAGAGATCTCTCTGTCATTACACACTGCGTAAGGTTCAATATTCTGTTCGTCTATCGAGTAGAGGCAAACAACGAGTCGCATATGTCCAACCAGCTTTATTCCCACTGCTATTTTTCTCCAGTCAACCCCCATCCTTTTTTAATGTGGCCATTACTTATGCTATTAAAATAAAACATATACCTATATGACACTACTGAAATTTTACTTAGCTTTAAGAGACGGGGCTAGGGTCACGAGATACATGTGATAAAAGTTGCGCGCCACGAGTACTTGCGCTAAAGCATCCTAAGAGGCGCCGTCGCGTCTCTTACTTGATAGATCCCAGGGTTCTTTGTTTAATTGTGATGGATTATTTAAGCTCTGATTCTTTTTATGCTCAATCAGTTCTTGCAATACTTGAGAGATCCTGAACTCGGCACAAAAAAATTCGAACTTGTCTTCTATTTATCACTAGGTGATGTCCATATTTCAGTTCTAGGGCAAATACTATGGTTGCTATATGTTGAACATAAATTTTGGAAATGAAGCCCGAGCGGGGACAAGATTTCTGCCAAAAATAAGCAAAATTCCACGATTTCTCTTGATTTCTAAAAATTACCGATTCGTGGCATTTCGTGGAATTCGTAGTCAGTATGGAATAGGGGTACTTCTCTGTGACAATTATTGCTAGCAGAGGATTACTGCTCATTTAGATACCTGCCGTGCTTACTGCGACTACCTGGTACTGTACTGCCGCTTGCACCCTTGAATATATGATATAGTGTTTAATTAGTTGGATATGTTATCAATGAATACATAATTTAATTTGAAACCCGTTGTGGTTGGAAACACAACCGCCTGGCTGTAAGTGTATGTATGCTATGTGTATACCGCAGTGGTGCTGTGTATGGAAGCTGTAATACACATTAGACGGTGGTCGGTAGAGTTCTGTTAGTAATAACGTTATTTATTATTAAAGCAATAATAACTCTTCCTTTGAGATTCAAAATTCCGCATGAAATACATTGTAAACAACGCATGGAAATATATTCTATTGTATTTTACCACTAAAACGGCCGTTATTGTAGTAAAACTAAAATCTGTGCTTGTCAATAGGGCTTTCGAAGCTTTCATCAGGCATTCGTTGCTAATGACGTAATGGTGTCACGCGGATTCTCGCGTTCATTCGAGACCAAAATAACATATGGCGCCAAACGCATTAATGCGGACGCAGACGTAAGTTGGAGTTTTTGTACAGTGCGTCGGATAACAAAAAGCCCAGAACGGCACACATTGTGGATATTAATGTATTTTTAACAAAAAGACGAATATATCTCATGAATCTTATATAGTGTTGTTGTTGTCTGCTTTTCCCGCGGTTTTAAGTAGGTCAACAGTGACTATGCGATGTCAGAGAGAGCTCCGTCAGTTAAAATCTCTTAAGAGATTTTAACAAAAAACCGTACGTTTAGGAAAAAAACCCTGGATTAACTTTGAATGCAGGAATGGGGTCGCTGACCATTGGTAAGTACGGGAAAATTGCCGTTTACTCCAGGAAAATCCAATTTTTGGCCAAAATGAAGAGTTATTATGACTTTAAGTAACCTCACTGAGAGCAGTATCTTACTGTCAACAGTAGGTCGACAACTCTACATGGGTATAGATTATTATCTTTTTGCACGTACTTGCCGGGAAACAAAGGGGTTTCTCAGGGTTCAATCCTATAGGAACTACATGTATCAGACTACGTACATCGACTCAACTCCGCAGGGACTCTGGCTGAATGCTATCAAATCAGCAGATTAACACGCCACCTGGTGTTGAACAGAATACAGAAAAGCTGGTGATTATTCCAGTACGTTGGAAACAAGTGGAGGCGTGTTAATCTGTTCAACTGATTTCATTCTGCAAGATTTCCGCGGAGCTGGATCAATCTACGCAGACCTATGGTTTAAATGGGAATGAAAGGTTTTCAAGACGGCCTCCGAAGAGCTCGATAAGATGTTGACATTATTATTATTATTATTATTATTATTATTATTATTAATTCAATTTAATTAATTACCTCCGCCTAGGTGGTTATGTTTTTGGTTCCGTTAGTCTGTCTGTCTGTCTGTCTATTAGCAACATATCAGAAAAAGTTATGGACCGATTTTGATGAAATCTTCAGGAACTGTCAGAAGTAGGCCATGGAACAGATAATTAGTTTTTGTTAATGATCCGGATCATAAATCAACCAATAAGCAATAATCAAAAATCAAGAAACTAAATCATTATAGAATGAAAATTTAGGGGTGAAACGGCATTGAGTGGAGACTTTGCTGCCTTGGCGGAGGTCTGCGTTCTCGAAGTGCTTTTCTAGTTTATTAATTTATTTACTCATTTTATTAGTTAATTCTTATTTATTATTTAATTCATTTATTGCAGTAGCAACAGCTAGCAGCTGAGAAGTGTCGAAGTCAAAATTTAATGGCGTTAAGACCACAGGTTGTGAAGATCCATCCCTACATTGTGTTCCTCACTCACATGAATTTGAATAACTGTTTTATTATTCCGACCGTAAGGGCGCAGCTGCACCGCCATCGTATCGATCTTCAAGGTTCATGCAGTATTGTGCTTCTATTCCGCAAATTGTGCCATTAATATATTTGTCAAATAAAACTATAAATTTATGTATAGTAAACAGCATCTTCCTTCTCAGTCATGCTGCTGGTGTATATATGTACATGTAGATGTAATTCGGATTAATGGCAAATCAACATTGGGAAGTGAAATGTGACGACAGAAAGAGGGAACATCTGTCAGCTTAGTTTTCACAATTATCTCTTTATTGAATTTGTTAACTGTAAACGCTCTCCCTGAAACTGCTTAAATTACTGAAATTTGAGAATATCTTAACACTCTTGGGAACAATAATACAGTGAAAAATAATTAAGACTAAAAATGTAAAATTACTCTTTTACTAGAGTTTAGCTTAGTGCCTTATCGGAAAAGCTAAATGAATAATAACCCCTAAAGAGGGGAGACTCCTAGTCCACGGACTACGGTAATGACTCAATAATTTCAAACGTGCAAATTGTGAATTTTACAGATACTGTATTTTTTCAATTAACTAATTCTAAATATTAGAACAAACTTAAAGAGTGGTAGCAACACAATTGAGAAGCAAACAATCTGATATAGATGTACAGTAAAAGCCCCAAAATGCCATTGAGGAATGTACTTTTCACGATAAAAAATTACATGTCTGAAAAATTGATATTTTCCCGGTTCACACGATCTGGTTATTACCGTATCCATAATAATTTCATACCCTATACATACATTATATATGCGCATCTTAAAAATAATATTTGCACAAACACGCACACACTGGGTATATGACCATGATACTATTTACACAACCATAAGCACACAGTCTGATATGTAGCCTTATTTGAATACATCTGAAATAAAAACAGTTCATAAATTATATACATATAATAGTAAAAATGCACACTTGTGTAAAGCTGAATTACTCGTATATACATCATGGTTTGGAATACACTATATTTGTAGATGCGTGGACCCAGTTTCCTCTGATCAGTTATCCTATTGGTAAAAGAACGTTATACTTATAAGATATAAGATACTTATTTTTGTCTCTGATTTTGCCGTCCCATGGTTAATATGGCTAATATCATCAGGGTGACTGTCCAGAGGATAACAAAAACATCCAATAGATAGTGTTAACCATAGGATAGCGATATCCAGTGATGATGAAACTGGGTCCTGATGGTTATAGATACTAGTACAAATACCAACTCGTGACATTAGTCTTTCCACTGTCACACTGTCAAAGTCAGGGCAACATTTCCTAAATATCAAATATTGAAATAATGGGACCTGCTGCAATTGTCATATTGGTGATAAAAATATCAACACAATACTAGCACCAGTCTTACCGGTATGTCTTATTTTGAAAGTCAACAATTTTTGTGATCATGCAATGAGACTTTCTAATATCTTAAAGTAACAATTTAGTCTTTCCCCTCATCACATTCATCTGACTTCAAGATTTAACCTTCAATTTGTAACGCTGTCTTCAAGGCTATCGTTTGGAGATTTCAATGACTTAATCCAAAATAATTTCGAATTATGTAATAATCCAGACCATTTTCACGCATGTCAATATTCAGTCGAGCATACCCTGACACTGTTTGGAGAGATTCCATTAATCCTGTCAGTGGATCCTTGATACCGTGGTACACAGCTAAGTTATTACCACGGAATGAGAAGTACATCAGATAAGTGGTGTGTATCACACCTTGGCTCAGTTCACGGACGGCTTCACAGACATCCTTACATATGTCGCATTGTGTTGTATCTTTACCTCTAGGACATGTACACCTGCTAGACTCACACTCGGGTCCTCTTTTCAATACGCTTTTTAGTCCCAGATGGTACAGCTTTGGCATATGGCGAAGGTTCCTCCCCAGAAGTTTTACACCCTTAGCGCCAAGATAGATATGGCCAATGTCTATGTACCTGTAGGTACAATCATGACTGATATTAGGCAGTGTCCCTAGTACTGGTGCGGGGTCTTTTGATAATCTATCTCCTTTTACAGAAATGAACTGCAATGACTCCATCTGTTGGATCACCTGGATGTCTTGGTCATTTATGTTTCTGGCCTCAAGATGTACCAGATTCCCGGGGTTTGGTATTGACGCTAGAACTCCTTTACAATGACATTTTATTTTAAGTGTCCGAAGGTAAGGAGCTTTTGATAAAACATTTTTTAATGCACATTTGCAAACATCACATGTGTGTGACTCTATCAACCAAGATATCTCTTCTAGTTTCTCGGACATGTAACACGTTTTGAATATAGATAATAGCTTATGCCATGAGTTTTCATTTTCTGCTTCAAAATTAAATGTATTATATCTGTCGATGTCTACCTGGACTTTTGTCACATCCGTGAGTGTAACAGCACATGTCTGGGGACTGCTAAATGCACTGTCTATACTATCCCACAGGGCCCGCTGGAATCTGGGATCAGAGTGGCGAAAAAATCCAGGTATGTAAAGCACCGTGTGCCAGGAGATGGCTGAGTGGATAATCTCAGGGGGTAGCACTGTTCCATAGGGACAATGGGCGTACCAATGTTCTAGGAGGAGATTTTGAAGCCACTCTCCATACTTGCAATAATTATCAGTGTAATTTATTCTCCACGAAGAATACTTTGATTCTTTACCAAACAGGGCATTAGCTGTACGCAGAACCTTAATAGTTGCTGTCTCTGATAACCCGCACAAGAATCGCAACACGTAGTCCATGTCATGGAGCCTGCCAAGGGTGTTAAAGCATCCCAAGAACTTATCTAAATTATTGTCGATTGTCCTGGCAAAATATTTTGCAGCAAATAATTCTTGAATTGTTTTATGAAGAAATGTTACTTCTTTTTTAACATCAAAATTACAGTGCACCTTGGACCTGCTGAGGAGCCCCAAACTGTACAGTTCGTAGATATCTGGAATTGACTGGAGGTCTCCTTCATCAAATGTGAGACCCCCACCTGGTTTCAGCAATCCATGTAATGCTTGTTTACCAAGTTGCAAAAAAGTATCATTCAGTTCTTCAAGATATTTGTCCACTTCACTTTCCTTCTCGATTTTATTTTTTCGTCTTATTATCAACCTCAAAAGTTTTTCATACAGTAGTGTGTATGAAGCTGGGAGTGAAACTGCTGTGGTGTCGCTTGTCTGATTCCCTTCCCACATAAGACAAATGAAAAGTAAAATTATTGGAATCTTGACCAGGGACATAAGCTTCCTTCTTTCTAGGTAACCTATGAGACATTTCCCTATTGCATGACGTGACTCAACCATTGAATGACTGAAGGCTCCTTTTGATCTCAATTCCAGGTATGCTTGTCCATCGTCAAAGAATTTAGCAACGTATTCATGTATGTTGTCCTCTGTTAACCCAGTGATTTCATACACACCGTCCGTTATTCTTCTGTTCATCAATTCTTCTGCCTTCCATGGACGTGATGTGATGACGGTGCAAACTCCCGGGTATTGTCTGCCAAGAATGATGTCTATGATTTCTTTGGAAGTGTTGGGATCATATTCATCATAGCCGTCAAAGACCAGTAGCACTTTGTTACGATCTTTATTCAGAGCACACATGATATCCTCTATCACTTCTTTTTCTGCTGAGCAAGGAATTTGCATTTCAATTGCTTCCTTGAGTGTTTGATGTCGCAGAATGCTGCGAAGATTTAAAATTAAAAGGTATTTATAGTTTGAAAGTATCCCTTCACAAGTTGTTGAACCCAATATTGCATTTGCCCAGTCTGTTGCCATTTTTTGTGTAAATGTGGTTTTGCCGATGCCTGCTTTCCCTCTTACCAATATTCTCTTTGGTGTTTTACCTTGTTTGGTATCGTTAAATATTGATGTGTAGCCCTGCATTCGATCAAAACTGGTACCTGCTGGTTTCTTTTTCTCTTGAACCCACTCTAAGTTAACATATACATCATCTATGTGCATGGTGTCGTTGGGGTCCCAGGGAAGACGTTGTATCTCGCTCATGTACTTGATGTAGAATTCGGCTATTTCCTTGTTTCTCGACTCTTTTGGGCTCGTTTCAAGTGCCTGAATAATACAGAATGCATATAATTTTAATAATATTTTACTTAATTTTAAAGACAAAATGAAACATGCAACTAAAATGAAAATGGTCTCCTTGCTTAAACTGTGTTCTTATTTAAAATAAAAATATTTGAGAGTAGAGGCAGGCAATATGTATTATGAAAATTTAAATAAGTTATTTAATAGAAATGCATGTACAGCACAACGCATAATAAAACCAAACAGAACTTGAAATTCCCACATAAGTGATATTTACATACCGGAGGTCATGATTTAACGTAAAAAAAATAAATGATAACTCTAACTGAACTTATAAAACATGATGTATTCACCATGAATTATGCATGACACCCTTTGGGTAACCCCCTCCCCTCTTCACAATTAATATATTTTCTTCAAATTATGGAAAGATGGGCTGATTTGAAAAATAAATTTAAATATATTAAAATATATAACTTTTCAAATAATTGTTAATATCAAAAGGTAAGATACTAAAAAATAGAAGAAATATATACATGTACTTAATGTACCTGATTGCGCGCATCTGCTGTTATTGTTGCTGGATCAAGTTTGCTGCCTGTAAAAGAGGAGTAACCTATGAAAATATTACATTCACAGTTCAGCACAGAAACTAGTTGCCATTGTTTGAAAACTGTTAATACTGAACACACACATCCCCACTACCACCATCATGGTGCAACTGAGATTATCATATAAACGTGGGAGAAATTATTTGATTCCATATCAGTTATATGTGCCTAGTGACGTCAGTGTAGACTGAAAATGACAGATTAACATTGCAACATACCTTGTTTCTTAAATGGTTTGTTTGTGATAAAAGGAACTTTAAAAACTAACCAAAACCAGATGTTATAAAAAAAGTTGTACAATGTTAAAATATCTTGTGAATTAAATTTATTACTATATCCTCCACACTTTTTTAACAAATATATAAATATATTTATCATAATGTTGGGACACAGCTATCGCCTAGAGTCATGTGAAGACAACATTCCATGTTATTATAATGTCAAAATTAGCAGAAAGAATTAAATATTTCTAAATGTGGTCTTACCACCTCCTAGCCCTTCGATTTGAGTCTCCAGACTTTTGGCCACTTGAAAAGCTATAAATATACACACGTCTGTACTGCAGTATCACTTTTCTAGAAACCATATTTTGATAATCACTCATTTAAGGGTAGTTTGATAAGTTATCTTTGATCTATTTTATTTCCTGATACTTTTAGATAGTGTAGAATTTAAAATTATCATGTTTAGAGATAATGCCGTCACACCAAAAAATACACTGGAGTGAATTTGCTAATTCTAGATGATGACGTGTTTGTATTAAAATTGTTTCCAATTATAAACATATATCCCTCACCTGAACAGCTATCAATGTTTTTTTACAACAGTAAGGCTGAAAGGGTTACTTGTGATTTTGAAGGTAAATATGCGAGATAATGCCTTTGTTTTATCAAACAGCGTTATTAGAGTCTTATGTCCCTAAACAAAATAGATTAAAAGCAAACGTTTTATTTCAAACCTTTGTCATTAACCATGCCAATTTTCATGATGATATCTGACAAAGTTATGGAGGCACGACGCAAACCGATCACTTTCTAACATCAATTTACAAAGCAGTTTTGAGAATTGACGATGAACGGAAAAGAGAAGCAGAAGTGCGTGCATGAGGTGTAGAATACCGCTAAAAAGGGAACATTTGCTTTAAAATGTTTTATTTGATTGCACTTGTATCAAGATACCTATTCTAAATTGAAGGAACGGGGGAGTTATTTTGACCAATTTAGGCCATATATCCCTCCAGAGAGTAGCAAAACTTACCAGAATATTATGGCTCGTACAATTTTAATCACCACCTATGTTCTGCTTAGTTATAATCTTGTAACCCAAGTGAATTTTTTCCTAATCATTACTGATTCCTCGCGTACACTTGTATCAATAAAATAAATGCAACCGTTATATCTTTATAAAAAAGCCACTCATATAATTAAGTCATTTGGGTATGATATGGTATTAGAAATCATTATTCATGTCACTCAGCAGTAGACATGATCTCCATACATATATACATCCATTTTTTAAACTGACATTTACTGTAGTATATTACCTGGACGTTCTGGTCTATCTTGAACTCTGTCATAAAGCACCTGAACCATTTCGTGAGTGCCTGTAAACAAAACACAAATTCACTGTTGTTCTCAAACCTAAGTATGAGAATGCAATTGAGGATTTTAAGAGTCACGATTGTTTTTCATCTGCATCATTGCCAGTATGTTGTTAACACTACATTGTTTTTGTACCACTGCTTAACTTATTGTCTCAAGAATTTTGTCAAAGAAAATGCAAATATATCCCACACTTAAGTATAAAACTTCAATAGAGGTTCTTAGATCCTGATGCCACTATCATTATATCTACCTCATTCACATCCAAGAAATGTTTGAAATAAAGTTGCTCCTGAACCGAAATGTGAAGAACGAAGGCATATGTGCAACAATGAGTTTTATGTGAGGAAAGCATCTAAAGAACAAAGTACATACCTATTGTCCTCAAATCGATTTCCTTGAGCATATCATGATTCTCCATCATCCACTCTTTCACCTCTTTGTCATAATTGTACAGTTTGTTCATAACGTCTTGGTATTCCTTAAGTAAACCAGTGTCAAGAGGTCTGTGCAAGATGGCGTCGTATTCCTCACCACTGTACCTGCCAGAGAGAGCCAGGAGACTGGACTTGAGACGGGAGAATTTTTCTCGGAAAACATCCAAGGTGATTGCTGTTACTTTTATATGAGCATACTCAACATTCCGATATCTTTTAACTCGACCAATCTCGGCTTCCGTTGACTTATCGCTGTCAGAGGGGTTGTCCCATGCTTTGGACTTAGTATCCAGTGTTGTGATGTTCCTCAGCAAAAGCACAGTCAGTGTGATGTCTAAATCACCAACAGTTACTGATGTGGAGGGATTTCCAGCAGGATACAGTTGGTCTTTTTGCTGCTTATTAAATACTCCTCGTGGTAATCTAAACAGTCTTTTCCTGACAGTTCCATCCGCAAGCACCCCACATAACAACCCTGTGCTTAAGTCAAATAAATTGGGATAGTTTGATTCAAGCTCTTTCTGAAGAACATGTTGCACGACCTTCAGGGCATATTCTACAATTAAAATGCACAAACGGAAATAATTCTCCTGGTCTGAGCCGGCGTATGACTCTATTGCTGCTGCCATGGCATTAGTACTTGCTACTTCTACGTCTTTCACTGCCTCCTCTGGAATGGAATAGAAGATGGATATGTGAGTCTAATTATATCCACAAGTATGCTCTAATTTTATTGGGGCGAAAGAGATATCAACTCAGTTATGATTATTATCTCCATACATGTTGATATCCGTCTACATGTCAGCTCTAAGCTAAAAGCGACAAAATGTTTGTTATATACCATACAACATAAAAAAGGTACTTAGAAATGGTATAGAAGATGGGAAAAGAATCTTTCATTATTATGCATTATTGGACCTTAATGCTCTCACATCAGTGGGAGGCCTGGATCTGGGGAAAATGTTTTTTGTTCTGAGACCCTTTAATGCATCGGTCATTCATGCCAAGGCACTTTTCTGTCAAAGGCTTCCAGGTGATGTTGTTGACATTGCGTCATAAAATATTTTCAGCGATAAGTTTTCATCTGATATTCTCAAAATTGTTCCCTTTGACTGATGTATGTGAGTCACCAGAGCCTTCCTATCAATTGTTATAACCGTTCATATTGAGTTTTATAGTTTTAAGCGATATTCACAGAACAATGGCATTGTATTGTTAGATGACCCAATTTCAACTTGCTCTATCGACCTAACTTATTGAAAAGCATACAACGATATTGAAAATATACGCTTTGAAAGACCTTTTGTGTCGTTGCTAAAGTGCTCAACACAGACTGATGTTTTGTGCACGCGATTCAGGTGAGAAAACAAAATGCTGCATGGGAGCTTAGATTGGTTGATGTTGATCCCCATCTGAGCGAGTTTCTACAAATTGGATCAAAATATTTCAGTATATATATATATATATATATATATATATATATATATATATATATATATATATATATATATATATATATCGAGAGTCAAACTTTGCAAACCATCACTTTTTGAAGATGCCTTTTAGCGTCCGTAATGTACCCGTTTGCGTATAATCGTCCTCCGAGAACAAGCACTGCGAATTAACGACATCAACGTGCAATTGGAAATGGAGGTTTTAGTTTCTCGCCAGTGAATATACTATGTTTTACAATAATACAGCGAAGGCTATTTATTTTGGTTTGGTTTGCGCATGTAATGCGTCATCCACTTTATGAAATGAGGAATTGTTTTGATGATCTTTTGTTGTGAGTTTTGCTTTATTACATTCAAGATTCCCGCGTCAAGTCACATGGTACCAGGTGTCATGCGACACCTGGCGTGACGCGTAAACAATACATAGACTAATACACTACATTCCTCCCCATCATATTTTCAAAACATGCTTATATACAAACCACTGATGATTAAGATAAGTGTGAATTAATTACAATTGTTGAAATAATTTTAACATACATACGGATTACACTTTATCAACAGCATCTTAGTCAACCCTTGCTTTAAATGACAATGTCCTATGTATTATATGCCTTACATCAGCACAGTTAATGATAATGAGATCTATTTTTGTGCATAGTAAATAATAATTGTGCATATACACTGTACATTACATATTAACGGCACAAATAAATACATTATTTCCTTATAGCTAAGGCAACATGTTGTGTTAAACAGTGCATACTTTGAAATCCCATTTTTTTATATAGATGTGCATGCATTACTGCATAAACGGCACATATGAACTTTACTAATTATGCTAAATCTGCATTATCAACATGACACATGCACTTTACTCACAAGACTATACTGTGCATCCAAACAGCTTCAAAATACATACAACTTTTACGAATGCCTTGATAAAGAAAATGTATAATTGTGTCACTTATGTGAGTACAATATTAAATGCGAATACAGGCTCAGTTTAATGTAGCCAATATATATGCATGTAAAACATAGTCAATGCTTGGTTCAGAGTCAATAGAGTTCACAGAAAATGTCCCATTTTCTCAGTAAATTGTCCTTGATATAACGTATTGTAGTAGATATCGCTGTCACATATGATAATAACAACCTAGTTAGTTCTGAGTCTTCCTCTCAACAATAACTTATTGGAGGTATAACTGTTCTGCCACTTCTCGTAACAACAGCGTCTTTGACAGTTCCTTCACTTTGTGGTTGGTCATCACCCATGTTAGTAGGAGTCACACATTTAGCTTTGGAGGGTTTTAGGGCCCCCCTTCCCTTACAGGGCTTTAAGTGATCATGATGCACCACCACAGCTTTTCTTTTTGTTTTTATTTTATACAAAATTGGAGAAAGCACCTCAATAATTTTGAAGGGACCGAGCCATACAGGCTGTAATTTTTTAGAACGACCGGGTTTTGACATGTTGTTATATCTATACACTAGGTCACCCTTACAATATTGTGTTTGTCTGGCATTTGCGTCATAGTACGCTTTTTGTGTCTTTAAATTCTCGCCGAGACATTTTCTGGCCAACTCGTGAACGCTCTCTAGCTTTTCTTTTAATTGCATGACATAGCTATTTGGTTCAACATCTCCTTTAATAGATTTTAAACCAAATGTAAAATCAATGGGCTGTCTAGTTTCCCTTCCAAACATCAACATGTTTGGGGTCAGATCTGTTTGTCTGTTAGGGACCGCCCTGATTGCGTTTGTAATTAAAGATAAATGTTCATCCCAACTATTGTCCTGTCCTTCCAAATAACACCGTATACACTGCATGATAGTCCTATTCTGACGCTCCACAGCGCCATTTGAACACGGCCTGTACGGGCTAGTTTGGGTTTTGTTAATAGACAGTAAACTGCAAACATTACTAAACAATTCACTTGTAAAATTGGCACCCATGTGCCCAATGTATGATGGTTGGACAACCAAACCTAGCAATGAAATTGTTCACCAATGTTTTGCTAACTGTATTTGCAGTTTGATCCGGCAATGGATACGCTTCCACCCATTTAGTGAACTGACACACGACAACTAAAATGTACTTATTCCCTGATTTACTGGGGATAAGTGGTCCTAAAATATCTATGTGAACCCTCTCTAAAGGTGCACCGGCATGGAAATTTTGCAATTCAGCTCTGAATTTCCTGCTTGCTTTTTTATTTTTTTCACAAGCCACACATGAATTGACATACAGTTTGCAGTCGGTAGTCATTCCATACCAAAATACACTTTGTCTCAACTTAGAAAGAGTCCGAGCAATCCCCTGATGACCTGAAATAACAGGGTCATGACACAATGATAAGGCTTCCTGTTGGAATTCTTTGGGTAATACCAAAAGAGCGTTAAAAGAGCCTTTATCAAACCTGTTGTAATATAAAACACCATCTTTCATGGACAGCAAATTGAAGTTTGTCCATAAAAATTTCACAGCTGTTGA